CTCAGTGCAGCCATAATCTAAAAAAATAGCTGTATTTTTGAAAATCGATATAGCCTACCCCGATATATCGATTCCTGTGTCTATTAGACCGAAAAGATCAGGGAGCAAGCCAACTTCAGTACACCGTCGATTCATCGATCAGTTTTCGTAACACGCATACGTTAACTACTAAATCCGATCATCTCATCGCTTTGTTAATCGGACTGAAAGATTACATCGAACATGAGGTGAGAATCAGACGGTCGCATTTGGCGCTAAATGCGGCGAGAGAATACGACCGGGTGACTCATCGGCGAAGATTATAGGTTCGACGCGATAAATCAGTTAGCTTTATATGCAAATCGCGAATGAGCAATTCCGCGAACCGTCGGCCGCAATTCTCTGAGACGTCTTTTCCCGCTGCGAGAAGATTGCCGTAGCAAATCAGGCATGAATAACAGCTGGGAGAAAGGTATTTTATCGAGTGAATCTCCGAGACGGTATCGAGACCAAATGATGAAATACAGAATGTGTCCCTTTCCCCTGCTATCTTTCAGCACACTTTCATTCTTTAACAGCGAGTCCGTCTTTCTGCATTCGAATTTTCATAGCTTTTTATTTTCAAGGCTTTTATTCTCAATACTGCGCGCGCGCAAATCTTGTTAAGTTACACACCGAGTTTCTATTGAAGTCCTGGAATCGAGTAAACTATCTTTTTTTCCAGATATTTACAGGAGAATGCCGATAAAGTTGATTTAAGTTGATTTATTGAAACTAACTTAAATATTGTTATACCATATTTTCAATACTCGGCGGATTTTGTACAATTTTCAATTTGCTACTTTCTTAACAACGGTTTCCCTGGCCTCTTGAATTTATTCCGCGTAACTTTCGTTCAACTCAAAACTAACAATCACCCATTGAAACTAATTAATTCGATCAAACCGCGACGCCATGTTGCCGGAACGGTGGCAGTGTGCAAGCGCACTGCCGCAAGCCGGGTATACCCTAAAATTCCTGCCTGCGAGATCGGTGACGGTGTGGTTGGATGCTGTAGGATATCGGAGGTCGACGAAGGAGTAAAAGGGAGGGAGGAGAGAGAGAGAGAGAGAGAGTAAATGGAAGAGGAGGAGAAGGCGTCAGAGGCGCAAGCGGAGGAAGAGGAGAAAGATCCGAACATACGTGTCCCGAGTTACAAGCAGGAAGGATAAACGGCTTGACATATTAGTTAGTAGCTCCGGTAGAATGAGAAGCCAGCCATATCAAATCGGAGTCCCGAAACAGCTCAACCGTCGACTAACTCGCCGTTAACTTCGGCCTGTTTTGTTCTCCGGCGTCCGCTGCACTGTACTGCGAACGTGAAGTGGATAAAATCGCAATGCTCCCTCAACTGGACCTCAATCCCGCAGAATATTCCAGGGCATTTCAAAAATTATTCTCCCAATGTTCTCTTTCTTCGTGGATATATTTCTGCTCAGATGCAGTGATTTTGTTTGCATTTTTAGTTTAGTTCTCCTAAAGTTTGATGAGGGAGGCAATTGCTTTCACACCAGGCAGGAGAGAGATTGAGTTAAAAAGCTTAATTTAAGTTCCAAGATTATAATTTAAAATAAGGAACGAAGTGAGAGAGACAGGATGTCCACCAAGATGTACAATAATAAATTCCGATTGATGAACAACGAATGTAACAAGTAGAAATTTTGCAATTTCATTTTAAAATATCCGGGAGAGAAAGAGAAAAGATTAAATGCAACAATGGTTCAAGATAAAAAAAATTTTAGGATATGAGAATTGATTAACTTTGTTCATTAATATATATTTTTAACTAAAATCTCCCACGTATTTAACTAAAATTGACGAACTGAAACGATTAGGAAAATAAAATCAGAGAGATTGAAATTGAATTTTTTGTCAGGTTTGCACATGGTGTAGATTGAATCGTTGTTGCCCTGAATACTTCAAACATAAAGGTATATTGTAATAGTCAGCGTCAAGTGAATTTTGCATAAGAACGGGAAAGGTCACTCCGGTTCAAAGAGTCGGCAACTTTTTAAAGAAATTACAAGTCTCATGCATCACCGTTATCAGGTTTCACGCACTCGTAACAGCGTTTGCCGTAAAGCATGCCTGTAAAATATGTACGTCGCCGTTCGTTGCCGGGAAAAAAGTTCCGTAAATCAAAACGCTGCTCGCGAATTTTTTTGCGACGCGAGCTACGCGAGGAGGCTGCGGAATGAGAGCTCTATAAAATCTCGGCCTGTGCGCCCTCGTTCGATGGAAACTCGAGTTCGGCCGCTTTTTTGAGAGCTTTATCACGGCCCTATCAGCCGCCCCAAATTGAGAACAGAATTCGTAATGGCGCCGCGATTATTATTCATCCGCCGCGACTGCAAACGTTTCCCGCCATTAAACCCTCGACCGAAGTATAGAATCCAACCGACCGCATCCCTCGTCTAAGAATATTATATTAGCTCGTACATTATCTCCGGCTTCTGCTCCTTCACAGAAGACATCGGCCTAGTCCTTGTGACTGCATCAACGAAAGATTATGTTCTCTTTATTTAAAAAAATGTCTTCAGCTGAAAATTTATTAGACGATAGTAATGTAAATATATATTAAACGTTGGAATTTTTGCTCTTCTTAAAATTATTTTCTTTTACAAACGAGGTGGAAATTTACAAGATGTCTAGAAAATATTTAAAGAACACATGGGTTATTCAAAGAGAATCTGGCATTCTTCAAAGTTTTGATACGAAGAAAAACTTCTTACATTTTCAGAAGAGATCATCTTTCGGAATTTCAATTTTTTTTATTTTATCATTTAGAATCTGCTATTTGGTCGATCGCCGCAACGATGGCAGTGCAATCACAATCTTATGATTTTCCTATTCCTCGATTTTCCCGGGAATTTTTCGAGAATTACGTAATCCCGATGGGATGAGAAAGCGGAAACAAGGATGAGAGATAAAATGCGAGTCTTTTTGCGGGAGAGAACGATTTTTGGACATAAGTCGAACGAGAACGAACAAGAGTGACTCTGGGTCAATCATCTCTGTCTCGTCTTTATGACGACATTACGCTTCCGAGGGGAATGAAGGAGGGGAATGAAGGAAAACGAACAAAATCTCGTTGATTTCGGGCGAGAGAGAAAGCGAGTAGATGGCGAAGGTCCTAGAAAATCATCTTGATTGCTTGATCAGAAAATGTACTGTTTAGTATGTGTCTGTCCTGCGTAATCAATCTTATCAGAAAACGAGGACATCAATTTTATCTTTTTTTCATGAATAGAAGAAATACTATTGGAAAGTGTAATATATTTTCCAATTCTATTTGCATTATATTGCTTGAAACAATAAATAGTCTCTCTATTAATTTATACATGAAAAGAACAATTTTGCTAGTATCTAAAAATTTAATTAGACAAATCTGGAACTAATTTTGTTGAACCATTAGAATAATTACGTGGGATTCTCAAACAATGCTGCTTTAATATTCTAGCAGTCAATTTGAATGTCCTACATAATTATTTTGATGATTCAACGAATTATTTTCAGATCCTAATTAAATTTTTAGATACTGCAGCAAATTCTGCATAACTATATTGTATATTGTGAAACTACTAATATTAATTGTATAATCGGTTGAATAGTTTTAATTAGTTATTCTTCATATTTTTTAGAAAATGTCTTTTTCCAAGATGATTCGATTACACTTTGACGCTGTTTGGCATCCTTGAAACAAGCCGATAAATGCATAAGGCTCACTGACGGCTTCGTATTTTCTGAAATATCCGGAATGACAGGCGAATGTTTGAAAGGATGGTTAGGGGACGGCAGAAAGCAGCTCGACAGAGTGACAGGGGGTGTACGGGTAGCGCAATGTTTTAGAATATTCAGACATAAATAGAATAGGATAGCACGTAGACCAACATGGCGGTTTTCGCCTTCCGTATTTCACTGCAGAGAAACCGCCGAGCAGGACTCCCGCACGTATTTCTGGAAAGACGTCCGACTGCGCTTGCTGCCCCGTGAATTGTTGGTTCCATAGTGCACATCGGGAATGTTTTATCTCTTCCCCCTCCACCCCTAGACTGAATTCTTCACGATACTCGTTCATCACGTCGATAACGCCCCTCAGGAATCCACCGCATCTCCTAAATGTCAATCTTGCGTCTTGGCCCTTTAATCTCCCAGACGAGTGTTCCCTCGATTCCCTTGGAAATGGATTTTTATATATAGATTAGAGCTTGACCACTATTAGGGTCCTCCTTATATCTTTTGTTTCCGTCGGAATAAATATTCTAACAAATATCCGATAAAATATAAATGTATCTAAATGAAGAAAAGATGAAACATTCTCAAAATTATAATGTAACAACTAAATTTAACAAACGAATTCGTATTCAGCAGGCAAAAAAAATACATTTAAAATAGCTACAATTGTTAAATACAATATTTTATCTCATTGTTAGATCAGTGTAATCTCTCCTTCTTTAAGGATAGTACTTATTCCAACTTATAATGATATTAAAAACTGTTGAACATTAAATTGGCCTTCAATCTTTGGATAAAAATTATTTTTCTAACTTCGAAATATTCAACTGGATTTACACCATGTTTCAAAAATAAAGCATTTGATAAAAATCATAGGATTCAAGAAGCCAAGTGATCATGGTGTCCAAGGATCTATAGATTTTCTTCCAGGGTTTCTTTGACTCTCACGAGTATCTTTCCTGATCTGTTCTCCAGTGTGTTCTTTCTCCTTGAGGATTCCAGAAGACACCGTAATCTTCTTAAGAGCGTGTCGATCGACCAGTACCGCACCGCATTTTTCCACCTCCTTGGCTCTGAATTTCCACTTTACTCCGATCTTTCTTTTCCCACCATTCCTGTTGTCGTCAGAATCTTCTTTTTTCCTTCATAAAACTACGGACAGATCCTTTTGCCACCTTATATCATATTCTGTACATGTATTGAATCTTCACAGACATATGAAGATATAGAAGAAGTGAAAAAAAAATATCTCGGAGAGAATAACGGTTATCTTGTAGAATACAAATTCTCTAACTTTGAAATAAATTTTAAAATAAAACGTATAATATTTGCGTGATTTTTATAAAATACATATTCACAAATATCGCTTCCTTACTTTAAAAGTGACATAACTAAAAAAATTAAGTTTTCTAGGAAAGGGAAAAATTTTTTCAATTTGACAGAACATTAGTAACTAATCTAATACGTTATTGAC